ATTCATGAGAGTTAGAGCTAGGAAGATGCAAGAAGCTTTAAATGGCCTTATTGAGCAGATCTGGGTTGACAACAATATGCAACAAGTAAATCAAAGCTTGGATGATTATCAAGGCATGGTAAACATCATTCAAATTCAAGAGAAGCTTAATTGAGAAATCCTTTTGAGGAGAGAGGGAATGATGGGAATCAAGATGACCCCACATGTACCACGTCAAGAGATCCATTACACATTCCAAGAGATCTATTCATGAGAGTTAGAGCTAGGAAGATGCAAGAAGCTTTAAATGGCCTTATTGAGCAGATCTGAGTTGACAACAATATGCAACAAGTAAATCAAAGCTTGGATGATTATCAAGGCATAGTAAACATCATTCAGATTCAAGAGAAGCTTAATTGAGATCATTTATGCTAAACTACACAATTTGCATTAAAATCCCACAATTCTGACGCAATTTGTAACAAACTAATATTTCACGTTACTTTAGGTTACTTTCAGTGATTTTCATGTTTTTTGTATTATTTTGGGCTGAACATTCATTTATTTGAGGCCCAATTTGTAGTTTTTAGGATTAGGGCTTAAGGTGTTAGTTTTCCTATTTTGATTAAAATTACTTTTTCCTATTTAAAAGGCTTGTAACGCTAATTGGGGGGAGCTATTGAATCTGAGATTTGGAGAGACTTTTCTCTTTGGTTCGTTTTAGAACTTTATAGAACTTATCAAGATTATTCTTGTGGCGTTCTAACTTATCATTCTCGTTCTTAATTGTTCGAGGGTGTGGCATCAACCAACTTTATACCTTTGGTTCTTGTTGCGTCATAGACAACAGGTCAAGGTTTTTACCTTTGATTCTTGTTGTGACATAAACAACGGGTCAAAATCCTATTATAAATCTGATTTAGCTTTCTTGGAGTTTAAAAATCCCTTGTTGTGCTGTGGGTTTTATTGTTCTCTTTGGGGTTCTCATCCAATCACTCACTAAAACACTAATTAAGAAAAAAAGGGTAAAATAATTGTCAACATGACCAATGACCATGCATTATATTTTGTACAGGATATTTCATTCTCATCATCCAGCATATATTTTAATAAGCTTAATTACAGTCAAACTCGTTTCTCTCTCCCTTTATTTCTTTTAAGTTCCTTACAATTATGCATTCGTGTGCAAAGGATCGGAAATGTTACGGTGATATTAATAAATTTTTTTAAATAATTAGCTATGGTATTCAAATATTTTAATTTATTAATTAATTTTAAATGATTAATTAATAAAAATATTAGTTACTTTTAATTATCAATTAATAATTATAATTATTAAATATTTTTAATAATTAAATCAAATGAAATCAGTGTTTTAAAGACAAATATTAAAAAATCTATGTACCTTTAATACTTTCATGTGTGTGACAACAATTACACCTATATATAAATGTTATTATTCCTATTCCATAATTAACAAAATAATAAAAATGCTACTGTTGTTAATATAGGACTTATTAAATAGAAAAAAGTGTTTTAAATTTATTTATAATGTTAATTTGAGATGGTGTAATGAAATAGTTATTAATAGGACTCATTAAATAAAAAAAATGTTTTAAATTAATTTTTTATAATATATTTTTAAGCTTATTTTTCAAATTTTATTAAATTAATCTCTCTCTTCATGTTTTCATAACAATTAGAAAAATAACTTAGGAAGAAGACATTATTAAGGATTCTTAAGTCTCTCATGATAAATAAACAAAAAAAAAAAAGGACTAAAATAATGATACGAAACAAAATATTTAAAAATAAAAATTGATAAAATTAAAACTTGAAGGAACAAATTAACGTGGCTCTGCCACTGCAGGGGAATATATATAAATTATAACACACTTCCTTTAGATACCGATGGTCCTATTGGAGTGCTTAAATAAAAACTTAAAAAAAATAATGTACAGGAAGTAAAATATTTTTAAAATATAAAATGTATCATTGTAAAAGAATTTTATTTACATATCATTTAAAATTATAAATAATGAAAAAAAATACTTGTACGTGGAAAACCAATTTAGCAAAATGTATTTTGAAAAAAGATATAAAATGTTCAAAGTTATGAAATAACATAACCTGATCTCATTTTTCATTAATTTATAGATTAAATACATAAAAGTAATTTACATAAAAATAAATGTAAGCAATTTTCAAAAGCTTTTCAAGATAATAAGGTAGAACCATTGTTTTAGTAACACATTGATTTGCCTTCACATCAAAAGCGCTGAGATCCTAACTTCTAGACATCGCAAGAATATGGAACCTATACCGAAAGCTCTCAAGCTGAGAATTATTACTCCAATCTATTGATATGAAATGAAGAGAAATATCATGAGTTAAACACTACTAGAAAACGCAGTATATTCGACAGTCAATACTGTCGATAATAACAATTATTCTGTCGGTTATACTATAATCGACAGACATAAGCGACAATAATTTTTGCCGAAAAAATGAGAGTTGAAAATTCATATAATCGACAGGCATGACTGTCGGTTACATGTATAATCGACAGTAGAATTGCTGTCGATTATGTTTGATAAATAAGCTAAACATATTCGATAGCCATATGATTGTCGAATATAAGTATATTCGTTAGTAATATACTGTCGATTATATTTATATTCGGCAGTTAACTGGCTGTCGATTATGTCTTCCAAAAAAAGCTAACATTTTCGACAGCCAAATTGGTTGTCGAAAATATCTGGGTCACAGAAAAAAAAAAAAAATTCCAAAATTTAGCATGATTATTCAACGAAAAATCATTACAAATTAACATAACCAAATTCCATGCTTAAAACCATATCCCACAACATTTGTACCATTTAAAAAATAAATTTAAGAGGAATAAAAGTAAAATATTGTCCAAATTAATAATATAAAAAACTAATCAACAAAAAATTTAATTTTCAAGCAATTTATCTCAGGAAAAGAACTTTATCTGCAAAATATATATATATATTATACATTATAATACTTAAGGTTAATAAAAAAGATATTAAAACATTAATCAAATAAAATAAAAATTTACCTCAAAACATTTTTCTTTTGTGAGTTTAATATATAATCTGCAAAAAAAAAAATATTTATTAGTAGATACTTATGTATCTTATTAATATAATTAGATGATTAATAAAAAAGAATAAAGAAGAAACCTTAAAATTGATAAAAGAATTGATGCAGATGGAGGAGGATCATTTAGCCATGAAAATAGGGAAATTTGTAAGAAAGTAACCATTTAATTATTTAGCCATGAAATAACTTAAAAAATTTAAACAAAACTGGAAAGAAAGAAATAAAATGAAAGAAGAAGAAAGATAAAAGGAAAGGAGGGATGGCCAACACTAGCCATAACAGTATTGTCATAAAAGCTTAGCGGGACAGAAGATAAAGAAAAACTCCTTAGGCACAAGAAAAAATCCATATTAGCACCATTTCAGAGTATGACAATGCATTAAGGACCACTAAATGGAAAATAGAAAGAAATCTCTCCTTTTATTGCCTTAAATAGAAGAAAAACAAGATAGAGAATTTTAAAAAATTGAGTACATTGAAAGTGCAGGAGATAGCATGGAATAGATAGGCCTGAATCAAACCCCTAATGGCAGAAAATGACAGGAGTGAGAGGACTTAAATGATGGTAAACCATGGGATGGACAAACAAAGGAGCCTCTTCCTTAAACTACCTGAAAAGAGGAATAGATACCCAAAGCAAAAGCACAGCTATAAAGTAAAAGGAAGTACCTCATCTATCAGAGGTTCACTTTCCAAAATGGCATGCACATTTGCTGCTTCTAGGGCAAGAAGCTCTCTCTTCAACCTTTCTGAAAATGCCTCCGCCTCACTAATACCCATGACGTAACTGCAGATCATGTGCTTAAAATTATCAAAATTACAAAAAAAGGTGGTACAGGAAAAAAAATGATTAAACGAAATGATGCAGGATGAAGCATTATATTGATTTTGTTTTGTTTTTGCAATAAAGTAGGTAACATAAATGGGAATTGGGATTCATAAAGAACATATCGACCAACCCAGGTTGCTCAAAACATCGACAATTTTGATGGCAAAATGACATATACTACTGTCAGGTCAAACAGCATTCATTTTTTGAATAATAAATATCTCTTTAGTCTAACCAACTCTGGTGTTTCACAGAAGACATAACCCAAAAAAGCATTTACTGAAAAAAGTGATGAGGAAAATGTAATATTTAAATTGGCATCAGTGAAGTAAGATGTAAGAACCTTCCCCCACAACAAAAAACCATTGATCAGCAATAATGTACATCATAAATCAGATACAAGTTTCAAGCTCAATCCTCTATGTTTTTCAAGGAATTGGAGGCAAGTATGCTTTATGCCTTTTATCTCCATTTTTTATTCACATTGCATTTCATAGTAGCAGCTGAATCTGTCCTGTTAACTAAGAGTAAAGCATGTCTGAAGGTAACCAAAGAACCTCAGAACAGAGTAACAGAAATACATACGTGCCCAAAAGAGCCTCCATGTCCTCTTTCTCAGCTTGAGAGACAAGTTCCTTTTCAACACTGACTTTCAGGTCGCTTCCTGTTACTGCAGTTGCAACATGCACAGGACCATCCTGCACAGTCCTTCGAGTGGTAACAGTGGGTGTATTTTCCTAGATCCAAGATGAAAGTAAAATGCATGAAGGAGAATATAGCATCTTACTAAGTTATGATAACTGAAATTTTAAGGAGATCAAAAGAAATATCACTCTAAGACCTCAGTCCACAGAAGGAAAGGGAATATTACTGCAGACCATACACAAATAATTTTTAACAAATAATCATTCTACAAGTCAAACACAACGGGTAAACACAATCAGATAGAGAGAACCGAAGCATGTTGACAATGCTACTAAAAATGAATCTGAGAGAGAATTCATGTATGATTCTCAGATTACAAGGACATCTCCCACTAACAGACATTCACATGATCTTTTGCCACACAATGGGCTATGGGCTGACAGGCCAAATATATATATAACTTAAAAAATTTAAACAAAACTGGAAAGAAAGAAAGAAAATGAAA